GTATAGATAGATCTAACGAGTGAGAAAATCGGAAAAGTGATTCTTCTCTTGGTAAATAAATTGTTTGGTAAAAGTTTTTTTGGTAAATATCATCTTGTAAGCTAGTAATAACAATTAGAAATTTTCAACCTATGTATTTATTTATATTTTTTATCAGAACAATGGCAAAACGTTCAAACACGAATGAGTCTCATGACGCAAGTAGTAGCGAAGATGAGCTTCGGATAGACGTTTATACAGATATGTTAGAAAGACTAACTGTAAAAGGTTTTCTTCTACAGTTGGTCTGTCGTTTTGATAGCAGTGATAGTGATATCGTCCAAGCAACAAGGCGACGAGAGAAAGAGTTCGCATAGATAGTGATTACAAAATTATAAAAAATAAAATATTGATTGTTTTGCAAATTTCTCGATTTCAGCCGATTCATATATGTCCAATATCATTATAATATGTTAGTTAGTTCCAAAACCATGCTAAATAATACGAGGGTCTGTAAATGCCCGTTTCTGCCGAAAAGTGGCGCTGAGTAGCTGGTAACCAACGTCCAGAATGGTTCGGAGTGCCAAGGGTTAAAACCGTTCCTGGAACATCGAGCCGTCGTCGAATCGTTGTTACGATCACGATTGTTCCGCAGGTGCTGGGTTTATCGCAGACGGCCACGCAGAAGGAAGTGACCGCTCGTTGGAGGGCACTTTCGCGGGACAATCATCCGGACAAGATCAAAGGCTCGGAGCAGGAGAGACGGGAGGCTCAGGAGAAGTTCATGGAGATCCAGCAGGCGTACGATATCCTCTCGAAGGCGAAGAACCGGAGGCAACGCCGCAACAGAAAGAGCGACGACGACGAGAACGTCGTCGACTCCGGCGATCGGTGAATCGGCGGTTCTCTCTCCCTTGCGTTCGTTTAACCCTCAATCAATCGGGTGGATAACGATACTCTTTTTTTAATATCCGCCCTTTCAAACTAAGCTATATAATAAATACGTTGTACAATCTACCTAATCAGTTGCGGGTTAAACGCGTCAGTTTCGATCGACGAGGTGCACGAGATTCGGAGGACGAAGCGATCTCATTCTACCTCGTTACCGTGTCCCGTTTCGAACGGAATTAGAAGTTCGTTAGTGTAAATATAGAAATGGGAGAGACGAAAGAGCGATATATATAATATGTATATGGATGTATGTATGTATGTATATATTTTTCTTACAACGTCGCTGTTGGTCGGCCGAGGAGGAGAGCCGAACGTTTCCGTCTCGACAGCGTATCCAATGAATATAGCGATGTTGATATCAAGACATTTATTTAAAAGTTGTTACGGCGATCACCGCGTTGGTATAAAATACCGCGTAGCGGTTCGCACACGCCCGCGGTGGCATAGCGAGGTAAACACGGTTCCGAAGCGGATTCACTCCGCCTACGTAAAAAGAGACGGGCCTTTGCCGGGACACCGACGTTTCAAAAACTATTTCTCGTCTATTTCTCTCCCGTTATTCGGTGAGTCAGCACGACCTTAGCCGATTCCGACTCCGAGCGTTCGGCGTTCCCGAGTTTCGACACGTTCCGCAAGCGGCTTCCTGCCCGCCGCCACGGACCACCGAGATCGTAAACCAAAAATAAAGTCCGACCGCTTCGGACGCTTACACCCTTATCCACACATCATTCCCATTGAAAACAATCTGGAGCAGCGTTTACGCCGTGCAACGACGCTCAAATAAACCGCGCACGAGGAGAAAAATCGGGACGAAAAATCTCGTCGAGACTCGGCGGATCGGGGGCGGTCGCGTTTTTGAGCGCGGTAACGGCGCGGCGGAGGCCGCCTTCGTCTCCAAGCTCGCTGTTTCACGGAACGAAATACTAATTTTCCCCGTGCAGGTGATATCAATGCCTAACGGTTTATTTGTTTTTCTTCTTCGACCGCGACGGCTTTATCGCCTCGATCTTCTCCGCGAAGCTCGACTTCTCCTTCGATTGGTCGAGGAAGTCTTGCGCCGACACCAATGTTACCCTGCAAAGCGTCAGATGCAACCGGTTATGATAGCAACAGTCATGTATTCGAAGCTTTTTGAACACCGATGAGAGCCAGTTTACGCGGAAAGAGTTAGGGTACGTCGTCGCAGCACAGGGCTGACGGAAACATGTTCTTTTTGGTCCGTCCGCTTTAGGATTAAGAAGCAAATTGAAAGATAAGGCTGTCTTGGAGATGACACCCGATCGAATAAGGAATTGTAAACGTGATGGAATACGATAATATGGTTGTTAACACTAAACCTACCATGCTGGTCGAAACGATCGCTATCGCGTTTCTTGTTTTCTTGTTTTTCAAATTATCAAGACTCTTTCACGACACTTTTTGTGCAGGCCGAAAATGTTCCGAGTGAGAAACGCTGTGCCAAGTTGATGCGATTTGGTTGAGGTTTGAGAAGGAAGATACAAATGTTGTGCGAGAAATAATGATTACGAAATTCATCAAGGAGAACACGAAGAGATACAAATTTTATGTATTAACACTTAGCCAACCGAACGGGGAGGTCTCTTCGTTTTAAATTCAGTCGATTGACGACCGAATGGAGAAATCTCCCACTTCCAATTTTCAAAAATTAAAAATGATTGCTTAATTTTATTAAGATCTGCAAGAGATGCGAATGTTGAAGAAGTAATCGATGCTGTATATGATATATAAGTTCGCTTTGCAATTTTTATTTAATCGAATGAAATACTTTAATTTTATGAAATTTCTTTTTGTCGCGGTCGTGAAAGTGTGAAAAATATTAATAAAATAAATCTTATAGTATATTATACTATATATTATATAGTATATTATTATATTATAGTATATTATAGTATATATAGTATATTATAGTATATTATTATATTATATAGTATATTGTTACATTCGAGATAATAATAAATGACATATCGTTGTACCGCTCTGTAAGGATTAAGAAACGATTGTATAAATTCCTCTACAAAAGTTACATTATGAAAGAAACGAACGCGAAAGTTTTCAATAAATTCAGTTTTTGTCACTTTTATAAAGCAACATTCGTTAGTCACTTTCGGAGATCGGTAGGTTTAGTGTTAATTATAGTCGCAGATACAACTTTGAAATAAATCAAGCACACGCGAAGAAGCAATCGCCAGCCCACAGCGAGTTAGAGGAAAATAATCACATGTCCAAATAATTTTTCGTATTGCGTTTAATTAAACGAACGTGGAAGAAATACCTGAGCTGCGGGACGCTGAGCGGACGTAGCAGACTTTTCACCACAGGAGGAACTTCGCTGGCTTTCGGTAAAGCGGGGCTGCTGGCGCAAAGGGCGGCGCTGGTCAGCTGCGTGACCAGCGAGAAGTTTCGGTCCGGCCCGGAAGTTGTGCGAAATACTTTCCTAATCTTCGACTTGAACCCCGAAGATGGTGGCGAGAGCGGCGTCGTGGGAATAGGTATGACCTGCGCCAATAAAAAATCTCCGTTACTATCCCCGCGTAGAACGCGACCGAGATTCGAAATACCTTTCCTTGCAAAACCTTGGCCGCCAGCTCGGGTTCGCTGCCCCACCTGCAGGAGGTCGACCTTTCCAAAAGCCGGTGTCTGGCGAACCTCTCGATCACCTCGGCACAGACGTACCTGCCACAGAATCTGGCCCACTGCTCTGCCCGCAGCCCTCTTCCGTGATCTCGCAAGGTCGGATTCGCACCTGGACAGAGCGATGGAAAACATTCCAAGAAACGTCTCCTCGAACTAAGAGATCCAACCGTTTGCACTCGAGTGGTGACTCTGGCGCACCGCTAAAATTGTTACGCTACGTGCCAAGATAATTGTTACATTATCAAAGCTTAGATATAAAAGATTGTTAAAAGTCTTACTGTTGAACGAGTCACAAGACTCAATTTCATATGCATGAAATGCACTTTATAAAATGGAAATATTATAAGTCAGAAAATTTAACTTAGATTTACAATTAAAATGGCTTCGAGTGCAAAGGGTTAACATTAAATCTATCGAGCTCTAATAGTAATCAACGCGTGTTCCTCTGCAACGATCGAAAGACTGCATTTATTTAAATCTTCTACCGCTTTCATTATGTCTGCTTGGGTTTTGCAATTTATTCGCTTTCTTTTTATTTTTTATTTATTTTTATGGGAGAGTTGTTACAATTTCGACAACTTTGGAATAAAAGACGTGAAACTCTTTATTTTGAGAAAATATTGTCATTTGTTAATGACGAGTATACTCGTCAAAAACAGCTAAAAGAAGGATATACGGTATAATTTTTTTTAAAACTGGACTAAATGACTTGAATTGTTTTTAGACGATAGAGAGGTCAGTTTACTAGACAATGCTTCTAACACATTTTTCAAATTTTGGTACTATATAATTGGAATGAGAAAGAAAGTAAAAAAACTCATGTTTATCAATTTTTTTATCTGAGCTTGTTACGAAAATTTAAAAAATGCATTTTGTAGATGTCGGTAAGTTACACGCATGCTGAAAATTTCATCGATATTGGTTGACCTTGACAGGAGCTGTAAGAAATTAAAGAACGCAAAAATCGCAGTTTTCTTCCGAATTTTGACACTTCCGACCAATAAGTGTGAGGAATCCGCAGTTTCTTTTTAAATCTTTTGACGCTTGCAACTTGTCTTTGTATTAACCGATTTCGATGAAAAATTTTCATCATGCATATAACTTACCAAGATCTACAAATTTTCGCTACAGAAAGGCTCGGATAAAAAAAGTCGAAAAACATGAGTTTTTTAATTTTCTTGTCATTCCAAGTAATCGCAAAATTAAAAAAAAAAGTATCAGAGTCGTTGTCTAGCAAACTAGTTCTCTATCATCTAAAAAAAAGAATGAAATCATTTGCCCCAGTTAAAAAAAAAAAATAAAACCATTTTTCAAGCGATCTTAAATATACGTCCGCCGTGCTTCGATATTCTTTATTAAATGAAATATTTTCTAAAAGCGTTGCATTTAAGCGAAGCATGAAGAAAATCAAACACATAAAGCACGCTTCGAGTAACACACAAATTATTCAAAGAGATTTGTCACAGTTGACCGTTTAAAGAGCCTACTCACCGGCGAACAACAGAATCTTCGCGCACTTGGTTCGTCCTTGAAGCGCGGCCTTCATCAGCGGCGTGAAACCGGAAGCGTTCCTGGCGTCCACTTCGATGTCGGGACACCTCTGCAGCAGGATGTTCAGGCACTCCGTTTGGCCTGCGCCGAGGGGAAAAGTCGATGAAATCGAGGGTCGAAAGTCGGCGGGATCGCGAGGGTGTCCTTCGCGGATTCGAGTGTGCTCGCTTATTTCAGGTAGCTAAACGCGCGTTCGAGAACCGCGTGTTTTGGCTTGAAACGTCCGTGGACGCGCGTCACAACCGCGGACCACGCGTCTTTCGAGTATCCAAGTACGCCGGTTATTTCTGGCGGCAGTGACGCGCTCTCGAATCGTTACGCTTACGGCATCACGAGCGTGAAATCTTCGTTACGCCGCTCTCTCGCACACCTATCGAGCACTCGATATTATTTCCCGGCGCCGCGAGAATCATGCTCTGTTTACAGAATTTATGTCTAGCACGTGGCCGCGTTTTTTCGGCCGCGGGCGCGGGGGCGGCCGGCGAACGTTTCTCGAAACACGTAATTCAAACAGCGGAGAATTTCGCTTTCGCTACGCGACGCGCGATTCGCGCGAGTTTCGCCGCGATCCTCCGCTTTCTTTCGGGAGCTCGCGAAGAAGGTCGGCAACCATCCGCGGCCCCGGTAAAAGCTGCTAACGGTATTTACCAGCGAAAATCGTATCTTTCAGCGTAGTTTCTTTTTCCTTTCTTCGCCTCTTTCGATGTGCAATGTAATAACAACCGCTTACCCGCTTGCGCCGCGAAATGCAGCGGCGTGTTGCCCTCGTTGTCCGGAATATTCGGATCCACCCCTTCGAACGTCAGAGCCAGCTCCAGCATCGCGGAGGCACCGTTTCCTGTCATGTAGCTTATGGCGGTCTGGCAATGCAAACAAACAACCTGAACGATGGGCTAGCGCACGAGACGATTACGTAAATCGCGGTTTCAAAGGAACGAGTCATTCGCTGGGTCGCGTCAACTGTCGAATAATGCTTACTCGTTTCCCCGCGAGTCGACTGTTTCCGCGCGGCGGAACACCGTCGACGAGGCTCGTGGCAAGGGTCGTGGAAAGATACGTTCCAGCGCCGTGCCACGATCGCGACTGTCCCGCATTGTTTGCTTTAGAAAGTTGCACAATACGCTTAGCCGTGTTATAGATCAATTTATTTAAGTGGTTACTGACGTTGACGCGATCGTTCAGACGCCATTACTTCGTCGGCAGCGCCTATAACGTGGACAGCCTATAACGTCAGAGAGCCGCAATTGCGTTCGCGGAAAGAGGATCGTTCGATTTCTTTTCGGCCGAAACGGATACGGCTCGTTTGTACGCCTGCAGAAACGGGAGCCGCCGATTCTTGCGTTCTCGATAACGAAGAATCGATGCCGAGTTTCAAACTTTTGCTCCGTAAACCTCGCTCTGTTTTATACGATGCTGGGATCCGGCACCGATGATTTTCGACAAGTTGGCAAGGATATCTGGACTCGCGGAAAGCACTGATTACGATCGATATCACGGCCGGCCAACTCATTAACGACAAACCGAATCTACCTAAATTCCCGATCCGAATCAAAGACCGTGACCCGCAACGCTTCGGGCAGGGGCTCTCTCCGAGCTTTTTGTGATACGAAGTTTTGCTCGGGACGGATATTCACGGTTCATCGGTTGGTCAATGAAACTGAACGTCGGAGATTCGTTCGACCATTGAGAAAAAAAATAAACGATTACTGGAAGCGTTAATCCTTGCGAGGAACGCTTCGTTTCGATCCTTCTGTGCGAATTTCTTTTTTACTTATTTTACAATCAATTGTTTCGAGATCGAGATTAATCTTCTCTTGTTCGGGGCAATAGGAACGGTTTATAATTTTAATTGATCAATTAAAGATTCGAATTTGGATGGAAGGTTATGATCATGAGTCAAGATTCTTTGAGATCGAGGTTGATCCTCTCGTTCGGTATAACAGAATCGAGTTGTGATTCTATTTAAATAATGGAAGATTCGAATTTGGAGGGAATGTTATAATTATGAGTCGAGATTCTTTGAGATCAAGGTTGATCTTCTCGCTCAGTGTAACAGAATCGAGTTGTAATTCTATTTAAATAATGGAAGATTCGAATTTGGAGGGAATGTTATAATTATGAGTCGAGATTCTTTGAGATCAAGGTTGATCTTCTCGCTCAGTGTAACAGAATCGAGTTGTAATTCTATTTAAATAATGGAAGATTCGAATTTGGAGGGAATGTTATAATTATGAGTCGAGATTCTTTGAGATTAAGGTTGATCTTCTCATTCGGCCTAACAGGATCGAGTTATAATTCTATTTAAATAATGGAAGATTCGAATTTGGATGGAACATTATAATTATGAGTCAAGATTCTTTTAGATCAAAGTTGATCTTCTCGTTCAGTGTAACAGAATCGAGTTGTAATTCTATTTAAATAATGGAAGATTCGAATTTGGAGATGGAACATTATAATTATGAGTCAAGATTCTTTGAGATCAAGGTTGATCTTCTCGTTCAGTGTAACAGAATCGAGTTGTAATTCTATTTAAATAATGGAAGATTCGAATTTGGAGATGGAACATTATAATTATGAGTCAAGATTCTTTGAGATCAAGGTTGATCTTCTCGTTCAGTGTAACAGAATCGAGTTGTAATTCTATTTAAATAATGGAAGATTCGAATTTGGAGGGAATGTTATAATTATGAGTCGAGATTCTTTGAGATCAAGGTTGATCTCATTCGGCCTAACAGGATTGAGTTATAATTCTATTTAAATAATGGAAGATTCGAATTTGAATGAAACATTATAATTACAAGTCAAGATTCTTTTAGATCAAAGTTGATCCTCTCGTTCGGTATAACAGAATCGAGTTGTAATTCTATTTAAATAATAGAACATTCGAATTTGGATGGAACGTTATAATCATGAATCAAGATTCTTTGAGCTCAAGGTTATTTTTATAGGTTTATTTTACTTGTTCGGCCTAACAGAAACAACTTGTAATTCTATTTAAACAATCAAAGATTCGAATTTGGTTGGAACGTTATAATCACGAATCAAGATTCTTTGAGATCAAGGTTGATCCTCTCGTTCAGCCTAACAGAGACAACTTATAATTCGATTAAAACAGTAGAACATTCGAATTTGGACGGAACGTTGTTATCATCAAGCGTCAAGCGAGATTAACCCTTCCCACTGGAATGGCGATCTCAAGGCGCCATTAAAAATTGTTATGTCACGTTTCAAAATAATTTTATTAATCAAATTTGTTCATATTTGACGAACTGTTGAAAGGATAACTGTTGCATCAATCACAAAATTCAATTTCATACGTACAAAATGCACTAGGTTATATAAAACGGAAATACAGTGGGTCAGAAAAAGCTATATTAAATTTTTCGTTAACTTGGCTTCGAGTGCAAAGGATTAAATTCTCAAAGCACCGTAGAATATACTAACGAAAATAACGAAAAGAGAAGAGCGCGTTCAGTTTGGCAACCACTGACACATCTCGACCGTAGACGGAACAAGCAGCGGAAGATATCGATGTGCTTCTAGCGGTGTAAATTTACACTTTCCGCCGCGGCGGTCATGATCAAGCTGTCACGGAAGGAAGCAAGGGTTTCGCCGTTCGTCGAATTTCGAGACTTAACTTTTTAGCGCGGACCATCGCCGCTTTCTCTCGAAAGCGTTTCCAGTTCATTTAAACCCGCGTTCGGCGTCGAACGAAAGCGGATAAAAAAACAAAGAAAGCTACTCACCCTGCCGCTGCTGTCAACCACATTGACGTCCATGTCCCCAAGTCCGAATCTCTGCACCTGCGCTGCGATTTGATCGAGCGCCTCGTCATCGGCATCTCTGGCGGCCCTCAAGAAGGCCGATCGGCCCTCGGAGGATGATTCCCACGACGGCGGCACTTTTCTGGTGTTGTCGCGCGCGTTCCGATCTGTCGATCAACAGCAGGCTCGTCACAAAAACCATCCGCCACTCGGTCTCTTTTAAAACAGCGAGCCAAAGTTTCGATATCCGTTAACGCGTATCAACGCGAACCGAGCGATTCGTGGCGCCAGCCTGTTTGCAGGCAGGCGCGTCGAACGCGCGCTCGAAGTTCGCCCTCTTGAAGGACTTCCAAAGAAAACAGTGACGCCAAAGATCGCCGCGGAAAATCCCAGCGTTAAAAGTCACCGTCGGTCCCGCCGCTGACGTGTTATATATTCGTTCGGAAACGGAAACGGCCTACCTTGCAGGACGCCCTTGTGGTAGACTTTGACCTCGTGAACGGCCCCTCTGCCCAAGTGCGATCTTCTCTCTTGGAAGCTGGTGTCCGAGCTGAACGAGACCGATTTCTTGACGCGGCCGCCGGTCTTCTTCTTCCGTTCGATCGGCAGCGTCTGGCAGCTCGGCGAACGTCCGAGAGTTTGCCGGGCTGGGCGGTGGTCGCCGGTGACGCTGCTCAAGATCGAGAAGTATCCCTTCAAGGTCGAGTACTTGCTCGGTCCGCCGGTGGTCTCCGAGCTATAGAGGTGCGAGGAGCCGGCTCTCCCTTGCTTCGCCGACTCGTCCTTTGCTCCCCACTCCGTGAACCGGCTGACCGAGTGCGTGAGATTCGCCAACAAGCCCGAGGATCGTTTCAGTATACCATCCTCGGGTGACCTTCTCGGCTTCTCGCGGCTCGGAACACCTGATGATTCAAAATGAAATTGGACACCAAACACACCGACGCGAAATCAATCCGGGATCGAACGCCGGAGGTATATATATATATACCTTCCGTGAGATTCAAGGGAACGGAGAACGACTTGCGAATGGTCCGCTGGCCGAGTTTGCCGACGCCGTTCGACCTGGCCGCGTCTTCGGGGAGCTGTTTCCTCGGGAACTCTCGCTCGAGAAAGGCGTCGCGGCGCACGGCGCCTCGGCTGCACGCGGATGCGTCGAGGATCGTGTTGTTCCTCTTGTTCGCGATACACGGCGCCGGCGTCTCTCTCGCTGCGCAGTTATTTCGAGCAAGCTCTCCCCTAGAGGCGACGATGCTGTAGTTGTTCACGGTGCAGGTCCTGCCCTTTACCGGAGAGCTGCACTTTACACGGGCCGCCTGGAGACCGTTTACCTGCCAGCCATCGTCCAGAATCCGCCGGGATTTCTGCTCGGGATCACCATACGTGTGCATATTAAACGAACCTTTCGGCACCCCTCCCTTCCCCCCTCCCCGCCCCGGTTACCTCGCCGTCGCGGTCGCAACGGGTCAACGCGACGGCAACACCTTTACCTTTTTCTGCATTCCGCAGCAACCCCGATCCATCCCTCGATCCCCGAACTTAATTCGCCCGGCGGTGTGAAAGTTACGGAACGAAAAACTGTGCAGCCGATAAATCCCGGAGCATGTTACTTTCCGGTAACATTTAAAACACGCGAACGTTACTTCGGCGTCGGACGTACCGAACTAAGTTCTCGCACGTCGCCGGGAACGCAAAGGTTGTGAAAAACATATCACAACATTCATGTTGACATACCCGGGGCTGTCCCGAATGTCAAACGATTTCGCGCGACTTCGAGCGAATGCGTGGACAGCAAAAGTTTGTCTGCGTGGAACACGCGTTTATCTATCTTTAACGCTGTTTTTTCACCGGCGGGAGTAAAGGACACCCTTCCGAGCTCGCGATTTAAAATGATTCGTATCGAAGCGGTCGAGCTTTCGAAATTTTCCTTTAAATTCTTTCCAACGTTCAGTCCGTTTAATCATTCTGTAGAATTCGTTTGGTAAAAAGACAGCGTTAATTACGCGAAACAAGGCAATCGGCAAGACGTTCTTCCGTTTCGTCGCGCGCAGTAGGTCGATTCGAAAATGGCAAAAGTACGAACGCGCGAGGGATCGACGCTGACGAATCCGTCAGCAAGCGACTGACGTCAAGCGACGAGAGAGGCTCTCTTTCGTAGAACAGCGTGCGAAAATCTCGACGAGAGAGCGGGGTACGGTGATTCGCAGTAACACTTACGAGAGTCGCGCTGCGAGGAGACGGTCTCGGCCAAATCTCTGTAGGAAAGTGGGCGAAAGCGTGGTCGGAACACGAACGTATCCGCGGAAACTCTCGCAAATCACTGACTGGTCGTCGGTTTGTCGCGATTCGGTGTCGCGGATCACGGGGGCACCGAGTATCGGCGGTGCGTGCCGGAGTAGGAGAAGGTTCCTTGGAAAGCGAGCCGTGCCTTCCGGATCGCCTCGCAAGACGTGCACGCGAGTTCTACCGCATCCGTTTCAACTAAACGCTATTTATATGTCGGTTAAGTCCTCGCGCCGCTCGTTCGGGCTAGTCTGCGCGTGTACCCGGCGTTATCGAAGCTTGTTCGCGAGCGATTCGCGAGCCGTACGCGGGCAATCCGTTCCGCGAGTCGTCGTCGCCGCCGCCGGCTAACCGACCGCCGATCTCTGCTCGTTCCGGACGACAATTACGCGTTTCTTTTTTCCTTTTTCCGCCGCCTCGTAATTAACCGAGACGAGGCGGGGCACCTGTGTGACGCAACGCGCGACCACGTATTCCCTCGACGGTTCCGCTCGCTTCGACTCCGGAACACGCTTCGTCTTCGGCTCCTACTCCGACAGAGCGACGTCGCCGTGATCGAAAACATCGGCAAGGTCCGTGCACGTGAAACAGTTCATAAACATCCGCGCGTAGATTGATCGAGCCGCGATGACTCGGTCGGATCTCCCTCGTTAGACATGCAAATGCCTGCCGGGAACGCCGAGAATCGCTTACTTGCAGAACGTTTCGCTGCACCGACGAGACCAGTAGACCGTTTCCGAGACCGTACTTGATCCCGCTGGACACAGCCGCTCGTCCCGAGCTGGCAACAACGGTGGTGGTGTTCGGTAATTTGCGACTCCTCGCCAATGTCGTTCCGGAGTGCTCCATCGAGTGCTGCGAACACGAGAATTCTCAAGATCCCTTCCCGATACTGCAACCGATCTCTATCAGGATCGGTTCTTGCCCGATGGTTCGCGGCGCTTCTGGAAAGCGACATTTCCTGGCCGAAACGACGAAGCGCGCTCATGCTTGTCGAATGTTCGCGCGAACGTTAGACGCTCCGACGCTCTGTCGCTTTTACAAGTTTCTCGAACGTTTAGCAGTTTTTCGCGCTGTATCTCCTTTGAAAATCGATCTCGTGCTCCGGCCAAGAACCACCGGTTTCCAGAGCACCCTGTGGCGTCCCACAGGTGGACGGTTCCCGGGGAAAGGCTGGCGAACGACTTAAATCTACGTGGAGAAAAATCTTCTCGAAGTGGAGAATCGAACCCGTTCCCCCCTGGCACATTAACCCCTTAATGCACAGTTTTTTTGAAAAAGGCCGGCCCAAAAAGGTCAATTTTTTCTAATGTAAAAAAACACAATTTAGAACGTTGTCTTGGCAAGGAAATTACAAAAATACAAAAATAATCAAAATTTTTATTGCAATTTTGGATTTTGATAACATTGCAGAAAATAGTCGAATATTGTAATATTACACGCACATCGACTTTTTTTATCTTTCTTGTCGAATTCCCATTTTTCAGAATAAACATTATTATCAGTAAAAATATTTATTTATACTTTTAAAACATAAATAATAACAATACTAGTATTTATAAAATTAATCAAAATTTTCTTTTGTGTGATATATATTTCGAAACAAGGTGCAGCACATAGCCCAACATTGCAACTATTACGCATGTAACGACTCTCTTTTCTTTTCCTTTTTCCTTTGCTATCTCTTTTAGCACAACACACAGCGCAATATCTTGTGAGCGATTCTTTTTTTGGCGTTGGTGAAACATTGATGTGGTGGAATTTTGATGTACTGCGCTTTTGTTCCATGGAAAAAGGCTATATTTTATTCTTGAACAAATAAGTGTTATAGCCCATGTTAATGATAAATATCACACAATAAAACGATTTTTTTTCTTTGCTTTCACATTCTTATTTTCCATTCTCGATTATATTCGAGTGTGAAAAATTATAGCAGCCTAAAATAGAACGCCGCTCGAATTATCTCGAGTGTGCCCAGTTTGGCCTGTTTAGCGCGCTCGAGTTAACTCGAGCGTGCACGTTAAGGGGTTAAGTTCATTCGACAGGTTTCCGCAATCGGGATTCGTGACTTCGATAGGTATTCCCGAATCGCGAGCCCGGTGTATCCGCATGCGTGAACACAACCGGGGCCTCGGTAACCTTTCGGCGTAGACTCGTCGTCCTTTTGCGCCGGGGCCGATTCCGCGTGCTTATTTTGGCGGCGTTACATTTGCCCGAGAGGCTTGTCGTTCCCGGCTCTGGCGTTAAGCCAATATTTTGAATTCTCGGATGCACGGGAATCCATCGATTATGCCACGCTCGACTCCTGCCGTTTATCGATCTTCCGAACTCCTGACACTGTCTCTCTTTCTCTCTCTCTCTCTCTTTCTCCGGAGGATCGCCTGCCGTGCCTCGATCGCCGCCGACTTTTCGTATTTTCATCGCTGCACGATATTTCACGTGCAACGGAAACGATTAATCCTACGCTAACAGTATCCCGTGTGTTTTGAATGCGAAGTACACGCGAGAAAAGCCGCATCTCGGTAAATATTTTTCGACGCTAGGACTCGGAACGGCCGAGAAAGCGTTCGAAAGTGCGGAGCCATCGATATCGGCGCAGTTTTATATTTAGTGCAGCTAATTTCCGAGTTGTTTCCAGACACTGCGACGCGGACCGTGAGGGATTAGACTAGTTCCGAAATGTTCGCACCGTCTCGCGAATGTCTGCCTCGGTGCGTCGGGGTCGCGTGTCAACGATTTAACCGATTTCTCGATTTAACAGCTTTTACGGGCGCCAGATACGACGCGGACGAATGTGCAGCAGCCTGGCGACGCCGCGAACCGATTAATATTGACTTTTAGACGCGTCCTTAGATCCGATCGTAACCGCGATTGCATAATATCTAATTAAATCCTTCCGCTGTTGCAGCGCATAATGGATGCGCATGCATAAACAAGAGAAACGGGTACGCGTTTTTCCGACCTGTTGTTCCGATCGACCGCGTCGCGGAGAATCGCGATCGATAAACTTTAAACGAAAGATCTACGATCGCGATGCAGATATTTTCGAACGTAAGCGACGCGCGCGCGCGCGCGGGGGCGGGCGGTTCGATTCGATCCGATCGAAAACCCCGTTTAAATACACACCGCTGACTAAACGACCGTCGAATCCGATGAAAATATTTGCGAATTCTTTGCCGCGGATGAAACTATCCGAGAGAATTATTAATTCGCAGTGGTCGGCGAGCGCAAAAATGCTGAGCGTCTCGAAAGCCGGCTTGGATCGCCGCTTCGTCGGCTCCACTATAAATTCCGGGAACGACAAGCCGTCTGGCCATTATCGCGTTGCGGAGACCGGGCAACTATCGTAAGGGTATTATTAAGAGGCGTGTTATGAGTCGTACTTTCCAAATACAACGCGGCGATTAATGAAAATTCATAAGGGAGCCCGGCGCGAACCGGCGAAGGTCGTCGAACGAAGTATATACGCGAACACGCACGCGAGTTCATCGGGAATGTTAATCGTGCGTCTCGTTGATAATCACGTGCGACGCAGTGTCATTGACACATTTCAAAGGCGAGATAATAACCTCGGGAACGAAACGGCCGTCCACGATACGACGGCGCGGCGCGGCTCGGCGCGGTTCGCGCGCGCTTAGAAGTGGATCGGTTCCTCTGCCGTGTACACTGACCGGGGGTTCGGTTTAATTTTAAACGAGGTCGACCGGAGAGACTCCGCCGCGATCCGTAAATTTGCCGCCTAATAATCGTGACCGTGACACTTTAGCGGCCCGTTAACGCGTAACGAATCGCGGCGCTTTCTTCTCGAGTCCGCTTCCACGCTTCTCCCGTCGCGAAAACTTTAGCACCGACGCTGTTTTACCTGTTTCCATTCCATCTAGCGCAAACGGGACACCACACGGTCTCACATGGGTAATTAGATCGCCTATAGATCGAGCGTTTTGATCGCGTAACACTATCCCCTCAAACTTTCGGCGACACACGGCCGCCGCACATCTTCGAATGTTCACTGCGTAAGAGACCGCGGCTCGGGATCATCCAGTTGCTTATAGCGAATGCGTCGACGAGGAGCGTCCAACGCATTGCTAGTTCCATCGGGCGATCGTTTGATCCGATCGGCTCGGCTAAGGGTTGATTGGATACTGGGCCAAAGTTTAATTCGCACCCTCGCTCTGTAAGTATCACGAGGACCGTGCTGCACGCCGTTTCGTCCGCGCAGCCGCGGATTTCAGCCAGGTGTTAGTTCTCTCGAGTGACCAAGAGTCAATGGAAAACGACGGTAGATTTTCCTTTTTCGCGGCGTCGGTCTTCGGGAAAACGCGAGCGACGTGTCGAACGCGGCGATGATTCATCTGTTCGATCGATGTCGATACCCGTCCTCGAGACATCGAGGAAAGTTCGGCTCGACGTGTGCGGGCTCGGCGGTGCGTTCTCTCCCTCGATATATTTTCGATCTATTTTTGCCCGGTAACACGCCGGTCGACCGATGAGACGCGTGCACGTGCTTCGACGCGCCACTGATTCAAGATCAATTAGAAAATCCGAACTTACTAAAAATAGTGTTCAAAATTGACCGCGTTCCGTGCTTCTTCGCGAGAAAGCGCCCCGTGCTCGACGGCCGAGCAAAACCGATGGCAATTTTATTCGACGCGCTCGCGAGAGCAGCGCAGGGCCACATCGAGGCCCGTTGATTATGTATTTAGCGTTGCGGATGCATATTTCATTCGTAGATACGAATCGCCGCGGCGCTTTTTTGAGCGGATGGTAGTCGGTCGATCGCGGGTTTTATGCATTTATACCGCGATAATTGTCTTGACAGAATTATCGGATACGACTCGTGTAGCAACAATGATAAATTTTGTTGTAACTTCCAAACCTCTCGACGCAATTTATACTATGTACTTTCGAATTGAATCACTGTATATATTATAAATAATAATAATAATAATAACAATAAATAGAAATAATAAATAAAATATATTATAATACAATAAAATATTTACCAAATTAACAAATAATGCGTAAAGCCGCGTTATTTTTTATGTATTGACATGATTAAACGAAAAAAAGTACGTTTTTACCAAACTTCTGTTTGCTAGAGTTAACATCGAAAGATCTTATTTTGCCAAAAGATCCGCGGTCTAGTAATCAGTGTAAAATCCGTTTCTGAAATTGTTCGAAACGTTTCTGCGGCAGTTTCATCACGTCCAAAATTACGTTTAGTCGCAGTTTTTTCCTCCAACTGAGAACTCGTGACAATCGTAAAAACTTACTAAATTTAAAAGTGCTACGCAAACGAACGACACCGTGACATTCGACGAAATTAATATTAGCGGTGGTGAAAAGTTAACGTTCGCCGGGCCGGCCGGTACAACGAAGAAGATTCCGTAACTACTTGGTCGGATAAAAGATTCACGCCGGCTCTACCGAACGATGCAAAAAGGAAGACTATGATACGGTGGAAAAAGACTTTCCGATCAATTCGTAGCTGTGTCGGCATTCTTAGAGCGTGATCGCGATCACGCCAACGTTTTGTACTTGTCGTCCGGAGTTCTCACACGGGTCACGGAACTCTTTAAAAACCGCTCTGCAACGGAAATGAGGCAATTTCCTCCGCGAGGCAAAGGTTGAGCGGATTCTTCGGGGATCTAGCCTAACGATCTATCAGCCTGACGATCTAACTAACGAATATGTGTGCGCGCCGATCGCGATGGAATCGGGGGAATGATGATGGAAGGTGCGAGGCAATTAAAACGTGGTTCAAAGTGTAATGCTATATTTCCGATAACATACAGAGTTTACATCGAGGATGAGCGCTATTTAATGCAACGCCGACACGATAGCGCGCATAAAACTTCCTCGCGCTGGCAGCCCTTTAATTATGAAAAAAATAGCGATATCGTGGCAATGCTGATCGAGTGAAAAATACAATAAACGTGAGAGGTGATTTTTCCCACCACATGTTCTAGGTACGATACTTATTTGGCAACAATCAACAACAATTGGGATCAAAGGTCATGCGTGGTAGCAGCGCCCGCTCGCACGCTCGCGCGCGGTCGCGCCTATTTCACGAGATTTTTCGAATTTTTACCATAATAAATTTGCTATCCGTCCAGGCGGTACCATTTATAATCGTTGATCCCGGAGGGGGGGTTACGTAAGAACATTAACGCAGTTCTTGCGTTCCTCTCGATGTAGCCTGAGCTGTCGCCGATCTACGAGTAAACTTGCATTTGCGCGCTCGCGATACCATCGCGAATAATCGAAAGCTGTGTGTGCGCAGCGTCCGCTTCTCGCGCGATGTCCGAGACGGTCTCAACAATCTACGCTTTCGAACGCACGGTACAGAAAGGCGAAACGATTCCGAAAAACAAGCTCTCAAAGCCCCCGAAAACCGTCCGATAAACCGTCATCGCGGCGTCGAGCCCCGCGCCGTCGAATAATTTTTCTTAAGAGCGGCTTGGCGGCGACGGGGCCAACGGGAAAACGAAGGAACCATGCTCGTGTCTACGGGTGGAAAGTATTATCTGGAAGTGTCTGACAACTCGATACATCGTAGAACAGTAGACGAGGGGAATCCGGACGCGCGGTTTACCGGAGGACCTTCCTCGAGAAACATCAAGAAAAGCATCGTCGATCTTTGGTAAATGCTTTTGGGGAGCATCGATAACAAACAGATCTCCTTTCCGATTCGGGTCTCCGCGGCAGAAGACTTATTGAACCCACGAAGCAGGTACCCAGAGCGGCTCCGATTCTACTCGGTGAACCGCGTTGACCAGTTGCTCGAACGCCATCGGTAGGTCAGCGTTCACTATCACCTCGTCGAACAGGTGCGAATAGAGAAACTCTATCCTGGCCGCGCTGTGCAGGATCTCGTGGTACTCCTCGTTCTGCGGAACACCGACGCAATCAACTCGCGATCAGACTACGAGACAGGCGTGGGCAGATTGCCCTGCGGGGCATTGTTCTGGCTCCGTTGGAAGCAGAAGCGCCGAAACTCCGGCAGGGAACAACATGTTTCGATTACAGCGAGGTTAAATTTTTGGAACAGGGAATTATCGCGAACGTTAGAGCTAAATCAACCAGTTAGCTGTGTTTGACGAGTATACTCGTCGCGTGTAAGAAGTAATGACCATTGGCTATTTGAATTGTGATTTTAAGGAAAACAAAAACATATTCTCAAATTTCAAGATGCTCAGAATATTTCGAGGCCAATCCTGCACGAAGTTGTTTACATTGTTATAAAAATAAAATTAGAAAAGAATCACGGTATTGGTGTTCGACGTGCAAAGTGCCATTATGCAGGGTGTCCTCGGATCATTTGAAGCAACTTCTTCCTTTACAAAAATTTTCTCCGAGGCACCGTTAACGAGTTATTAACGATAAAACAGTGACCAATAAGAATCGAGTACGGCTGACGCGAGGCGGCCCAGCCAACCGGCGCACGAAGCCCAGTTCCGCTCGGTCGCTTCGCGCCAGCTGAGCTCGCCTCTCATTGGTCACTGTTTTCCGTTAGTAACTCGTTAATGGTGCCTCGGAGAAAATTTTTGTAAAGAAAAAAGTTGCTCCAAATGACCTGAGGAACCCGCCACTTTCGGATTGCGAGACATTTTTGGGACACCCTCTATATTGTTCCTTGCTTTGCTAAATACCACTCTCTCTACAGCAGCAATTTGAATTTTTAACTTTTATAAGTATTTGATTGCCCCTGGGTTTTTCGTTTATTATGTGTATGGTATATGTTAACGTCGAGTGAATAAGTAAATATTAGTAATAAAATTGTTAATTTTATCAAGTAAAACCGTCTTTTTGATCGAATATTTTAACAGCGACACTTTAACATTGTGTTCGACGAGTATACTCGTGATCGCTCGATTCTCGCGACACATATAGGTGCGCGCTCTGAAATGGTGGCGCCACAGCTAACTGGTTAAGAAATATGGTCGTAGATTGCATCGTGTTCGAATGCCTCTGTCAAGGTGTTGCGCCCTCGATCGAAGGTCACTTGTTGCCCACGCCTGCTCCAACCGAAGGGATATTTACCGTGAAGCCGCGGGAGTTGCGCTCGTCGAAGGTCGACCTAGCTTTCGCGTCGTTCCTAGTCTCCTTCAGTATCTCGAACCTCGGCGGTTTAATGTATATCACGTACGGTTTCGTTTGTGGCGTTCGTAGCATCTTGAGGGCCTGATAGTGCGGGTTCAAGAGGCACACGTAGCCGGCGTTTATCAGGGAGCTAACGCTCTCGGAACTGGTACCGTACAGGTTGCCCTTGTACTCGCCGTATTCTATAAACTTGCCGGCGGCGATCTCCTCCTCCATCTTTTCGCGGGTCACGAAATGGTACTCTTTGCCGTTGATCTCGCCCGGTCTCGGTGGTCTCGAGGTATCTGAAGAGAAACGTGCGTGTGTCACCGTGAAGGCGTGGCGGTCCAGGTAATGGTGTCGACATTAGAGATGGAATAAAGAGTGTTCCAAGCGGAGTCGAATCTGACTAGTGTTCAAAATCGAAACTGATGAAACGAAACGCAGGCAATCGGATCCCATATCTAGCTAGATAGAATGAAGGTCGATGGAGTCGAGAATGGCGCGAGGCTTGGGTCGTCGAGCACGAGAGAAGGGTCGCGGGTGACTCGAACTTACAAGGCACGGGCGTCTTGTACTTATCGGGATCGGCGGCCATGAGTCGCCTCTTGAGCTCGTTCCTGCCGACTCCCGGTGGCCCGATCAGAACCACCGGCCGGTATAGACCTGGCCTCGGGTAGAGCTTCGCGACCTCTTCGTAGGTCGGTATCTCTTCTCGGTCGAAATCGTCGTTCTCTGCAGCTACATACATGATTTTTTTAGTTTTTACTCCCTGCAAGTTGCACTTTGTGGGCGAGGCGTGCAAAGAGGTACTGGGACGGGGGCACAATGAAGGCAAAGGCACTGGAACAGAACACAAGCCTAACCGACGGTTAGGTCGTCAGGCCAACACCCGTTAAGAACAGCAGCCTGGACCAGCTCCGATAGGATCGTCTATCTAGTAGCGATTCTCGACGCTCTTTTAGTCAGCATTAACGTTTGACATTAATGTTAGCCGAACGCGTTAATGTTGCGCATGCCATCGGACTTGCAAAACATCACTAAAACTACAAATACATATTTAGAAACGTCAAGAACAATATCGCGAGCGTCTACTACCAACGTTTCCCAAACGTCTCACGTGCGAATCGCGGGTTCCCGCCGTTTAGGAAACGCTGTTAGGATCGTTTTACGTACTTTGTCACGTTCGAACGTGAAACCGAACGACTTACTTATATTGTCGTCACGGGTTTGATCCCTCTGTTGCCTCTCGAGGATAATTCGTCTTTCCTGAAGAGCTCTACTGGGGATCAAGCCAGCTCTCGTATTTCGATCACCCTCGCGTCTCGCCTGCCACCTATTTCGAAACGAATGCAATTGGAACGTGATTCTCTCGGTGCCGTGCGCCCGTACAAGCAACGAATCAAGCGATTGGAGTCGTACCAATAAGCGTCATCCTGGCTGACGATGTGAAGAACGTCACGCTTGGTAAAGTCGAGTCCAGCCTCTTTGCAAGGTATGTACAGATCGTCCCACGCCTTGTACGAAAAATGCGCTCGGACTCGAACCTATCGCGCAAACAGAATCATTCGTCTTCCCGACGTTCTCGAGATTCGCTCGAAAACCTCGTCGAACCCGGGATACTACACGTTTCCCGAAGACTTTCGATTCGACGAGGTCGACGGCAAAGAATTCGGCTCCTCCGTAACGTACCTTACTCTCGCGAAAACCTCCTTTGCTGTCCGCCGGGACTATTTTAAACGTGATCGTACCTTCGGAATTTTGCTGGAAAGAGACACGCAACTTTTACCCTTGTGATCCCGTCCTTCGCTCTCATTTATTTGTAATTTACAACAACGCACCCCGAGATAAGAAAATGGCACAGCGTACTTCCGCGAAATTGTTCACGCTTCGCAGTAGATGAAGATCTCATATTGAATAATTTTGAGGATTTAGCAGATTAACAAGTGGAAGCAATTTGAAGACACGGATTTCATTTCCATAATAAGCTACTATACAGGGTGTCCCAAAAATGTTTCGCAATCTGGAAATGGCGGGTTCCTCGGATCATTTGAAGCAGCTTCTTCCTTTACAAAAATTTTCTCCGAGGCACCGTTAACGAGTTATTCACGAAAAACAGCGACCAACAAGAATCGAGTACGGCTGACGCGAGGCGGCCCAGCCAACCATCGCGCGAAGCCCAGTTCCGCTCAATGGCTTGGTCGCCTCGCACCAGTTGAGCTGGGATTCGACCGCCTCGACCGCTGGCGCCGTTGGCTCGGTCGCCTCGCGCTAGCTGAGCTCGCCTCTCATTGGTCACTGTTTTTCGTTAATAACTCGTTAACGGTGCCCCGGAGAAAATTTTTGTAAAGGAAAAAGTTGCTTCGAATGACCTGAGAAACCTGCCACTTTCGGATTGCGAGACATTTTTGGGACACTCAGAATTGCCCATTTTTTAGTGGAATCTGAGCGTCAGAATTTAACCCCTTGCCATACTTTAACGAGTCTGGTACCTGATACAGATTTCTAGTAATAACCTGTTAAGTATGAATGTTATTCCGTTCTTTTTAGTCTGAATAAAATCCTGATTTCTTGTCATCGATATTCAAACGTTTCAGTAAACGTAAACACGCAATAAATATAAATTGTCTTTCTTCTTATATTGAGAATTATCACAATCGAAAAACTTCTAATTATTGAGACTACGAAGAAAATGGCGCTGCAAGGGGTTAATCGGCCAAGAGTTTGGAAACGCGCCGTCTTCTTGTCCAGGAGTGCATAAGACAGGAAGTGAAAGAAGTCTGCGCGACCTACCAGTATCTGGAGAACACAGTTTGGAGTCTTCCCTTCGACGCTGATGCCGTTGACCTCGCAAATCTCGTCTCCGACGTGAATGAGGCCGGATCTATCGGCCGCGCCGCCGTGCATTATTCGCGCTATCACGATCTTGCCGGTGACTTCGCACGTTTTTAAGGTCGCCCCCTATCGTGAATGCGCAAGCTAGTATTTTGATTGCGTTGCGAGGCGCGCGTGCTCGGGAGCACCGTCCGTTTCTCATGAGAAATGAAATCGAAACGGAACGAAACAGAGAGAACGAAAAGAAACAGAATCGAAATCGCGCGCTCGATCTAAGTCGCTCGAAGCCGTCCGCGTTCATAGTGGCGGACACAAACACACACTGTTCGTTGCTGAAAATCCCTCGGGTGACGGCCGACGACGAACTTCGCGAGGTTCCGAAGAGAATTCCGAACTTCCGAACCGCGTTCCGGATCGCTCCGAGGGATTTTCGACACTCGCGCGAGGACATGCGGGACAATAACAGAGGATACCAATGTGATTTACGATGGAGAAATATCGTTTTATTTACAAGCAAAAAGTCACAAACAGAACGCAAACGGAACAACAGAAACTAACGGGGACGCAGGTTGGTGTGGAAATCAAAGATGAAAGCGAAATTAATTAAATTAGTCTGGCGGGGGGAGAGAGAAGAAGAAAACAGCGGTATTCTATTTACAGCGCGGTTCGTTCACGCTCTCTATTCTCATTCCAGTATTAGAGCTGGCGTGTACGTGTGCGTGTAGGTGTGTACGTGTGTGTATGTGTGTGTGTATGATCAGAGAGGGCCGATCGGACCGAGAACTAAAGAATCGAACGAACCAAACAGAAAAATGAGAGATGACAACTACAAAAGTAATCGTTGTTACTGCGAATCGATGTGATTACGCGTGAAACGTGTTACAGGCCTGTGTAGATGTTTCGGCTTGAAGGCGACTTACCACGATCGGTTCAAGGCCGGTGCCACACTTCGAAGCAAGTTTGACGATGAAAGAAACACGTGATTACTTGAGAAGTGTTCTGAGCATCGCATACCGCGATACTTCAGGATACGTATTCGATACTACGAGATATACTGTGTTACGGGGCCACGGCGCGCTCTACGTCGGTACAAAGGATTAATCAGGATCAACTCCCATGCAAAATCGACGTGATTTTACGGTGTTGCAAGTTTACGTTACGCTATCATATACATATATACAGGGTGGCTCGGTAACTCTATTACAAAGCGATATCTCGATTATCGTTAATGATACGCGGAAATGCTTGAAGAACAAATTGTTTGATTCGAAGGGACACATGTTTTGGTGGAGATCATTTTTTTGTAAAGGTCATATTTTTTGAGATTTCAAGGTCGTCGATGTTTTTTCAAATGGGATTACATATTTCTATCATTATGTAATGATAGCTAAGATCAAGACGAATCCAATAGCCTATAATACCATGACCTTCGTGTGACCTTGGGTACGAAAAGTAAAGAAATTTTTAGACATGGACAACACGTTTATTGATACCAAATGCCAGCATGTTTATATATATGTTATGTTCTCCTTTCGGTAGACATCACGCTTTTTGGTATAACGTTTTGGTACGGAGTATGGAGCTGTGTCAGAATTTTCATAATCGAATTGATGAATGTCTTGAAGTCAATGGAAATAATTTTGAACATTTATTACAATAATTTTTTCATTGTTGATCTCCCTGTTATAGTTATTTCATTATGCGTGTCCATGTCTAAAAATTTCTTTACTTCNCTTCGAGACATTTATTAATTCGATTATGAAAACTCTGACAGAGCTCGATACTCCATACCAAAACGTTATGCCAAAAAGCATGATGTCTACCGAAAGGACCTACCTAATGTCTACCGAAACATGCTGGCATTTGGTATCAATAAACGTGTTGTCCATGTCTAAAAATTTCTTTACTTCTCGTACCCAAGGTCACACGAAAGTCATGGTATTATAGATTATTAGATTCGTCTTGATCTTAGCTATCATGGTATAATGATAGAAATATGTAATCCCATTTGAAAAAACATCGACGACCTTGAAATCTCAAAAAATATAACCTTTATAAAAAAATGATTTCCACCACAACATGTGTCCCTTCGAACCAAACAATTTGTTCCTCAAGCATTTCCGCGTATCGTTAACGATAATCGAGATATCGCTTTGTAACAGAGTTACTGAGACACCCTGTATATATGTACGTATAGTTCGTTAGTACAGTTCGCTATCTCCTGTTATTAATGCTATCACGACCGTGATGTATAATCAAGCTTTCACTTTTACCGTGTTAATCGAGCGTAAAAACTTCAAAGACAGTCTAACAAAAGTAAGCGCCGGACAAGTGTAAGGCCTATCTATGACGTACCAAGGGCTCGTTCGACTTCACCAACTGCACGATCTTCACCGTTTCCTCGTCCTCGTCCACCTCCAGAGGGATCTCTGGCAAGCGGGGGTAGTAGTCTTTCTGGGCGACCGCGTCGTGCGCGCACAAAAGACCCTGCGACAAACCGGGCTCTTATCGGCGCACCCATTTTCAGCGTCTGGTTCGAAGGACCGAAGACGACTACAATTCCTCCTCGGTAATTCGACAACATTGACGCTAGCTTCGCCGACCTTTGCAACTTATCGAAAACAAGAATGTACTTGCTCCTAAAGAATATGGCCGATAGGATGGAGAAGAGGATGCCTTTTGATAAGAGGACTACAACGAATGCTCCCTAATTTTTCTTCAGCTTTTAAACAAAAATGGACAATTACAAAAACAAGGTACAAGGCTCGAATAATCCTCCTCTTCCCAAATTGTCCATTTTTGCTTGCAAGTTGAAGGAAAATTGGGGGAAATTAATTTTTCTTCAGCTTTTAAACAAAAATGGACAATTACAAAAACAAGGTACAAGGCTCGAACAATCCTCCTCTTCCCAAATTGTCCATTTTTGCTTGCAAGTAGAAGGAAAATTGGGGGAATTTACTGTACTAAAACTAAGGGTGGGATCAAGTTCGATATTTTCGAGTCAATTCCAATGACTAAGTCTCGTTTCATTGGTTTCGATTACTGCTAAAAAAACACAGTAAAGTTTCAATCAGTGTACTTGCTATGCAATCATTTCGCACAAGTTGCTTTCGAACTCTAGGATGAGTACCTGCAGGTTCGAAATCATAAGTTCGATGTTGCAGATATTCGAATCCCACAGTATCATTCTCGTTATTGGTCGTTTCGTACATATGTATGTAACCGTAAAAAGTTCGTATCTACTCGGAGTTCGAGTACGCTTGGAGAAGTTCTGTTTAAGTTCATCAAAATACTTACAAAAGAGTTCGAGCCTGTTCGAAACTATTGCATTCCTTTTTTAGAAATACTCGTGGAACGCTCGAAACACAGCTAGATTCGTAACCTGCTTGGAACGTATACTTGATCCCATCGCTAACTACACAACACCGTTGCTACAAATCCAAGAGAAGCTAGCCGGAATGCTGGCGGAAAGAAAAGAGGATCGGCGTGGCCACTGATGGTACCTGTATGTGCGGCTTTTGGAGAAGATGAAAGAGCTCCTTGCACTCTTTCGAGATGTGCGTTTTGGTCGACAGCAGATCCAGAACCTCGATGTCGATGTCCATAGAGTTGGATAGAACCGGGAAGAACTTGTCGTCCTTGACATTGTTCACAATTTTATTGTGCACGTTGACCAACGCGTTCAATTCCTTGGACTGCAGCAGATCGCTGAGGAAGCCGAACTCCTCGTCCGTGCAGCTCGGTATTTCGCTTTTGTTCTCCTGAAGAGAGTTCAGGAGCCTGGACAACGCTGGAAAACGAGACAACGAAATTACCATGAAAGACGCCGCCCGTGCTCGTTCGTTCGTCGGTCGGTTCGTTCGTTCGTTATTGGAATTATATCGGGCAGGAGGGGTTTTGTTATCGGAGTCGGGACAGCGTTGTTCGAGCACGGCTCGGAAACGTCCGGTGCACGACACATTTACCTCCTGATCGATAAATTAATTTCCTGCGACCGTTCGGTGCCGAGCTTCTCCTTCGCCTTGTCCGTCCACGGGAAAGAAACGAAATGTCCGTACCATTGTACGAAAGCCGAGCGTTTTTTCGCCTGTCGCATAGCGCGCTTTCGTACACGCGTGTTCAAACAACCCTCGTCGGTTCGTCTGTTTACCGGATGATCTGTAGATTATGGCCAGCTATACGGACGCGATTCGAGCCGAATATCAAATCGATCCAACGAGGATTCTGTTGCCGCAGTGAACGCCGATACACGGCTATTATGCTGCAATAAAGTCCAAGAATGATCGAAACAACGAGAACTCGAGGGAAAATGGTACTCCGATCTATAAAACGGGAAAAGTGACAGCGGATTGTTGAATCGTGTAATTATGTTATATATTATATTATATATTATATTTTATACTATTATATTATATTATATTATATATTATTATATTATATATATTATTATTATATTATTATATATATTATAATTATATTATATATTATATATCCCTATTATAGTATGAACCGAAATAAAGAAGGAATGCGAAAAATATAGCGGCACATGTCAACTAAACAATGGATCTAGATCTTGGTAGATCTAGACTTCGTTCGCCATTGTTTGTTGTACTTAACTTTCACATGTTTCTAATTTTTGTGGCAGTTTTTCACGACGATGTTGAAAAAGCTAGCGATAACTTTTTTTATGCTGCTGTTCCGAATCCACCCTTATATTCCCTTGGTCGATAGCATCGTATAAAACTTCTGTGAAAAAAAACTATAGACTGCCTGAAGTTAGAAAAACAATAACATCGGATTGGATTATTAATAACTCTTGCGGCAGTCGTGCGAAATATTATTGAATGAGAATATTCCGACAACAATGAAACGAATGGTGTACGGTGGGGTGGGACGAAGTTTATGACCTGTATTTCGAAATAGAGAGCCTTGATGTACACCAGCGACCATAGAAAAACGTTAAATTTTGTTCCGGCATAAATCTGACCCAGTGGAGACGACGATCGTTCGAATTTCTGGTAAGATTTAACAACAGGTAAAACCGAGGATTGCTAGCAGACAAAAATAGCAGCGGAGCACCTGTCTTTAACGCGGTGCGTTCGCCGTGCGTAAGATACGATTGCGTTCAATCGAGGCGAACCGAACCGATCCGCTGCGAACCGAACCGAGACGAACCGAACGGCGCCGAACCGGGACGAGCGTAACCGGTAAAAATCCACGCCTTCGCGACGCACCACGAGGCCATCGCTATTTTCAAAATCTCAACGTCGGCACACGCAACCGCCTGTCGTGTTCGAAAACAAATGACGGCCGAACGGAACACCACCGTGGACCCGATAAAACCGATAAACACGTTAACGTTCGCTTCGGCGAGGTAGGTTTCGCTGGCGGGTGTAATAACGATTACTCACCGGGATCCCAATTCACGTTTTCCATGACGAGCGCCGCTGTCATAATTTCATTCCAGCTCGAAAAGTACCGACGACTGGGTTTCCCGGCAGCTCTCGAGGCTCGGCGACGAGAAGAAGCAGGCTGACAACGGCAGAGCGTTCTCGTAGCACGCGATATCGGGACGAGAGACAGCGGAAATTCAGGTCAGTCGCGATGCTTATTTCGAGCGGATTGCTGCTGGCCAGCGCCGCGAATAACCCGGTAAAATAGTTTCTTGTTTCGCGTCCGCGGCTGGAATATCGTTATCATAGCGAGAATAATCCGTTACGTAAGCGCGGCTGTCACTCGACACGGGGTTGTATGACGAGCGCGGCTAGATTCGTCTGCTCTCTCCGCATCACGCCGACCGATGCGATGCGACGCGACCAACTACTCCTCTTCCCCTCTTCAATCGGCCGAAGATTCTCGAGCCACGGTCATATTTTCCTATCCCGGGCTGGCACAACACACACCCTCGCGGACCCGTTTCTTCTCCTCTCCGCGAACCAGCCAGCACAGCCCGATTCAACCGATACTCGCGAAATTCTCCAGGATTTTCGTCGATTTTCCCGTTTGCTCCCGACACGGCGCGCTACCCACGGAAGCCATCTTTAAAGGCGCCACTGCTTCCACCACCGCCGCGATCTCTCCCTCTTCCTCCCTCTCTCTCGCTCGCTCGCTCGCTCGCTCCCTCCCTTCCACTCCGGCATCGCCACCCCTCAACGTGTGCTTCCCTTTATTCGATACTCGGTCTATTTATTTCGATCCATACTTTTCGTTTTCTGCCCTCGCGTTTACGTCGACGCCTTTTCGAACGGCCGAACAACACCTTCGCCGTTCCACGAGCTGTCGTCCGTTCACACCTTTTCGTTGTCTCTCCCTCTCGCCACCCTTGGTAATCTATATTTTCGCGGGAGGGGGAACGTGGGGGAGAAGGAGAGAGAGGAAAGTGAACCCGTAACCTTTCCTACGAACCTTTTGCAATATTTTCATCCGGGTTACCAGACCTCTTTGTCTTCTAAACTAGGGTTTAGAAAAATATGATATATTACTGGATACGTTCTGTACGAATGTATTACATAAAGGAAAATGATCGAGGTACGGCACGGTGCTTGAAATAGATTTTCTGCAGGTGAAATGTTAATGCCGATCAAATATTAAGAATATTGAATCTTTCATATTATTTGTCCCGCATCGCATTATTTAGTGAATTCTAAATTGGTTATTTTATTTTTCATATATTTTGAAACTGCTTAAGTAATATACGATGAAATTACTAGCAGAGATAAATTAAATGTACTTGAGAATGTTTTCCGCAGCTTGCAGGAAAGGTAAACGATTAATCCTGTTCGAATTGTCCAACCCCGTCCGTCGCTCCGATGTGTCTAGCAGATTAAATGTTTGAAATTGCGCGCGGTTCAAATCGTCTATCTCGTTCGCGCCGTCGCTACCGCGCGGCAGCACCGTCGGCTGTGTATACATGCAGTTGTCTGCACGAAACGTCTCGCCGCTAGGTCCCGAATGTTTTGTGAATTTTGTGTTGTTTTCCCGTGTGAAATTTTTGTTGGTGATCGTTGCAAGGAACCCGTGATTTTCCGTTTGTTCAGTACCGGTAAGATCATCGACTTCTTTCTACTTTTGCCGAGCAACCCGAGTCGAAATTTGACATGGCGTTGACACACGCATACACGCACAATCATCCGTCGATTTTTCGACGAAAATTCTCTGTCCTCGTGGACCGTTCGGCGTACATGTATATATGTCGGTTTTCGCGTGCGACGTACGCGCGGTTTCGAGAAAAGACGCAGCGTCCATGTGATCTCGGTCGCGCGATAAATCCCCTCGATCACCGACATCGGCACACGCGTATTTCTCGTGTCTCTTGGATCCACAAGTGGTTGTGTACCGCGCGAGTTCCATGCAAACTTGATCTTTACGAATTCGACGACAGCCGATTCAATTCCCGAATTTCTTCGTGGCAGATCGTTGTCGGCGAACGGTCATCGACTATTTCCATTTCTTGCTTAGAAGCTGTGCGCGGCAAGCAAAGGAATATATGCTCGCTGTAATTAAGGGTTAGTTGGTTCTATTAACCCCCGGAAGGCGGTCCGTATTGACATATCTTCGGTCCACAAACTTTTCTAAGTAACTTTTTTATCGTTTTTTTTCTCAGAACAGCATTAACATCGTCGTTGAACTTAATACGAATAAGTTGTAATCTAAGCCGATCGTCAAAAGCTTGTAAATCCACTTGTAATTCCACTCTGTGGAATTCGGTCCAAATGGACCCAAGCACTATCGTCCGAGTGATATACTTTTATTCGTGATTTAGGTGTAGCGACCGTTGACGAATAAAACGATCGTTTGACGTTAGGTGATTATAACCGTCGTTAGTAAGGAAAGGGTTGAAAACATGGCGCGAAAGTATGAGCATGACCAACAGCATCGATATATGTGCACTCTAGTTGCGATGCGTTCGCGCAGCATGTACTTTAGTTCTAGGGAACAAATTGTAAATCGGAGAAACGCAATATCGTTGTAAGTCATTTTAACGATAAGCCAAGGCGGAGAACATGTTGTCAATAAAAGCTATACAACTGACATTAAAGTTTCGTTTTCATTTAACGAGTGAACTGTCTGTTTAAAATGTACTTTTTCGTTTGTTGCAGTTACCCCCGTTATCCCCGTTTATTTTTCATTCGTCGTTCTGGTAAGTTTCTTGATTTTTACCTTCTTCTTAATTTCCGTTTTTCCTTTTCTTTCTTTTTCATTTATCCTGCTAGTTCACATTATTTCTGAACAACCTCTACAGGCTTCTAATTCGTACAAACATTGCGTACAATACGTTTTTCCGTTTATTTCTTAACTGAATTACCGACTCTGTAGAAAATGCTCTAGTACAATAGCGGACTCTACCTAAATGGAACGGCCGGCTAGCGAACTACATCAGGCTGCAGCGCAGAAAGTGTAAGTCTTAAGAGACTGTAGACTGAACGTTTCGACCGAACAAATTTCATTGATCAATTTATCGCTTACAACTGTTTATTATTTAGAACAATTTTTCTTGTTAACCCCGCGACATTGGGTCACCCCCGATTGGATATTTTATCAACTGGTTCTTTCAGTGCGAATAATTCTCGTAAATAATTATTTACATAATTCTTGTGTCTGCTCTGCGATGCAACGACTGTGTATCTTTCTGCACTTGTGTATTAACGATCGGCGCGATTCGCGGGAAACGCGGACAATTTCTGCATTGCCAACCGAGTTACGGCTCCCGATATCAGTTTCGCGACCTACAGATGCCACGAGCAATCTCGCCTCGTTGCATTTCAGCCGGCTGCGATTCCCGTGCATTTTTTATGGGGACACGAGCGAGCGAACCAATCGGCAGGTCTGATCGACAAGTTTCGTAAATGGGAAAATCGGGGAAGTTCAATCGGCGGGGATACTCGATACGCGAGATACCGCCGGAGTAAACGTTATCCCGCGCCACTCGAATCAACGCTCGGCGAGCGCATCATTCAAAATTTATCCTGAAAAATGCAAATATTGTTGCGGTAAAAAATTCGGATCGCACCGTTATTTCGGCGCGCGAGCGGCGCTCCGTCCGCCCTCCCCCCTCCGGCTAAACAGATTCGCGTTAAAAGCGTGGACATTGGAACGGCCTGTGACACGTACCGGCGTTAGAAACGCGAATAAAGGAGTGCCACGCTCGCCTAGTCCCGTTTTAAATCCATTCAAAGAACCGCGCCGCCGCGTCAAACACGCCGATGGAGATTTAACCAAGTTACCAGACTTTTTCGCGTTAAACGCCAGTCGCGTTTCCCTGCTTGCAAGGGATGCTGGACAAGCGACGATTTTAATGTGCTTTTAGCACGGCGCGTGCAATGCTCGGGAATACACAGTGGCTCCAGAAGGAACGATGAGTTTTCGATTTTCGACGGATCGTCGATGTTCGAATTGCTATAATTTCCTAGAGACGAGTTGTATTGCGATGAACCTGAAATCATTTTAACGCTTAGCACTCCGAACCATTCTGGACGTTGGCTACCGGCTACTCAGCGCCAATTTTCGGCAGAAACGGGCGTTTACAGACCCTCGTATTATTTAGTACGGTTTTGGAACTAACTAACGTATTATAATGATGTTGGACTTATATGAATTTGGCTGAAATCGAGAAATTTGCAAAAAGATCAATATTTTATTTTTTGTTGTATTATTATATACAATTAATATTATTGTAATGTTATATGTATTGTAATATTATTGTATATATATATACATTACAATATTATTGTAATATTATTATATATATATATACATTACAATATTATTATAATATTATTATATATATATATAATAATAATATTACAATAATATTAATACAATATATATTTTTGCAAAAAGATCAATATTTTATTTTTTGTTGTATTATTATATACAATTAATATTATTCTAATATTATATATATATTGTAGTATTATTATATATTAATAATATAATAATATAATGCTATTATGTAGTATTATTATTGTTTTATAATTTTGTTTTGTTGTTGTAGTCGCTATCTATGCGAACTCTTTCTCTCGTCGTCTTGTTGCTTGGACGATATCACTAACTGCTATCAAAACGATAAACTAACGGTAGAAGAAAACCTTCTACATCCGAGTGATATGCTAGGATTACGATGTCCCACGAGAGGGGACAGCGGAGTGTGCAAAGGGTTAAAACTTGAAGTCCGAACCTTCGCAAATACATCGCTCATTTCTTTCATAACATGCTTTTACACGATACAACAAGTATAAAATTGAAGACAGGTTCGCGTTATAACGCGTTCATAACGCATTCACAAATCGAAACGTTTCGAAAAGCATTGCAAAATTGTTGTCATTAACGAAGCTTTCCTATTTTCGAAGAGATTTGAAGCTTCTCCATTTCAACGACTCCTTTAAACGTGGTGTACGATCTCTTTTTTAGACACCTTATGAAACATGAACGGAGGACAAGTTCTGTTGTGTAAATGTTCTCGTGTAGTTGTACCATTGTAAAGTATTCAGCGCAATTTTCATTCGAAGCTCGATAAAATGACAGAAAAAAGAAATCGTAAACCAAAGTTTAAAGTGGTTGTTGTCGAGTGGAGATTTCAATCTTCAAAATCTATGTTCGGATCAGTCACGTCAACAAATTTCCAATGTAATTTACAGACGTTTCTGTCTGTGATATATCAAGAAAGAGCGAGTGTTCGGTTTTCCATCTGCTATATTATGTAGAAACATGCTACAAGAAATTGAACGACGAACAGCAAAAGTGGAAGCATCGAGCACAAAAATAAGTACGATCCTTTTCTGAAGTTGTGCGATTGCGAAACGTGTTCGATCGAACATAAGCTACCCATTAACTCTAACCCTTTGATGACGAATGGCGTCATAACAGCGACAACAGGATTCCGCATGTTGTTGTAAATGTTTCGAACATGTAGTCTGATAATGCGCATGACGGGTAGATACATTGTTTATCGCGTGTCGTGGAAAACAAGTTTCGCCTGAATCCAAGAAAATCCGTCATTTTGAAAGCGCATTGAAACGAAACCGTGGATAAAAATTCCGTCCGAGTCGGGAGAGAGAAATGTATGTACTTTGATAAATCATCGTCCGCAAAGGGTAATTATGTGGGATTTTCTTGGAGCGGTGCAGTTAACGTTCCGGCGAATTTTTCTCTCGACAAGTTAAGACATTAATACAAATTCGTGCGAGCCCATCACAGTTGACGACCGCTGTCGGCCCAGAGATGTTTTAAAACAAATGCCGCCGTCGCTTTTGCATTGCTCTACGAGGATTTGGATCACGGTCGCGTGAACGTTGATTTTCGTCTGCAACCGAGAAAAATTACTCTGTCGTTATCTCGACGTTCGTGCGATCACGGTCTTATTGTACAACGTGCAATTGTAATTTGTAGGGGAAAAGAAAGTCCGCACGAGAAATAGCTTTCGAGGAGTTGCGATGTTTCTTTCGGATATGCTTGAAAACCGTTGCGACGCTTCGATCGAGAAAGCCAACCGCACGCGATCGTTGTTTGACCAGTATTCATATTATTTCCGATTCTCGATGGAACCCGTTCGCTATTAATCGCGGGCAACGATTTTTCTTTTAAACGGTGAACGCCTAATTTCGAAACGATGGTTCATAGTTCGCGATAAGGAGACTATTTATCCCGCGATTCAGAGTGGATGCGAGGATGGGCGTGGTTTCGTCGCTCCGATTTCCACGGAGCTGGGTCAGTGCCCCGAGGGGCAATCTCTGTGCGAGCTTGATCTAAACGTAACGGAACTCGGTGGAAAAGAAGTTCGACAGAAATCGATCAAACGTAAGAAAAAGAGAAAATGCGTGCTCTGAGGAGGGTCGGAGAACCGGCAGATCTCTGTTAGGGATAGCCTTATGCGTGTATGCTATCTGGATGATGCAAACATCAGCCATTTTCTGCCGCCTGTAATATCGCGTTGGTTAACGACTGAATCTGCTGTTGCAAAATTCATTGGAAAGCTGCAGAATCGGCTGTTAATCATTGGCTTTGAAAAGACCATTGATCAACATCGTTAGGCAAAGTGCTAATTCCAACGGTTTCTTTCATAGCCACGGTGATTATTATTTCTTCGTTCTTAACCGCTGGCCGTGTGCCATTTTCTTCAACGTTACAATTTCAATTTACAGTCAATTCTCCCTAATCGACGCTCAGCTTGTTCACAAAAATGGTCGATTTCGGAAGAGGAGATACGATTACAGTAAGTTCTCCCTAATTGACGCTCAGTTTGGGAACTAAAATGGAGAATTTGGAGAATTTCAATTTACAGTCAATTCTCCCTAATTGACGCTCAGTTTGTACACAAAAATGGTTAATTTCGGAAGAGGAGATACGATTACAGTAAGTTCTCCCTAATTGACGCTCAGTTTGGGAACTAAAACGGAGAATATGGAGAATTTCAATTTACAGTCAATTCTCCCTAATTGACGCACAGTTTGTACACAAAAATAGTTGATTTCGGAAGAGGAAATACGATTACAGTGAGTTCTCCCTAATTGACGCTCAGTTTGGGAACAAAAGTGGAGAATTTGGGAAGAGAAGGCACGATTATTCGAGCGTTGCACCTCGTTTTTATAATTGTTGACAATTGGCAACTATAAAAACGAACCGCAAAGCGTAAAAACAATCGTATCTTTTCTTCCGAAATTGTCCATTCTTGTGTACAATCTGAGCGTCAGTTAGGGAGACATTACTGTATTCGAGCCTTGCGGCTCGTTTTTATAATTACCGATTGTCAGAAATTATAAAAAACGAGGTGCAAAACTCGAATAATCGAATCTACTCTTCCCAAATTGTCCGTTTTTGCGCACAATCTGAGCATCAATTAGGAAGAATTTACCGTATTCCGAAGCGTGAACAATTTCGCGAAATACGCTGTCCCATTTTCTTGTCTCAGGGTGTGATGTTGCAAATTGCAAATAAATGAGACCGAAGGGCGGGATTACGAAGGTAAAAGTTGCGTGTCTCTTTCCAGAAAAAGTCTGAACGTTTTAAAATAGTCCCGGCGAATAGCAAAGGAGGTTTTCCGGAGAGTAAGGTACGTTTCGAAGAGCCCAATTCTTCAACAAAATAGAATTTCATTCCGACTTAAAGTAACGGAACAACATTCATACTTAACAGGTTCGTCGC